CCCCCCCCACACACACACACACACACACACACACACACACACACACACACACACACACACACACACACACTTCTCTCCCTGTTACTGAGGTGGGAGTGGGGGTAAAAATCGGAATAGACAGCACTGAGCCCAGAGGAGGCCTATGGGAGGTCCCGCCGCCGCGCGCAGGCGGCGGGAGGGCGGGCGCCTGGTCTGCGCGCTCTGCAGTAGCGCTGAGTGGGCGCGGTCCTTTTCTCAACGTTCGGACGGCTCCCAGGCCCCAGGGCGCGCCCGAGGCGTCCTTCTCGGCCAGGAGAGGAAGAGAACCCTTGGCCAGAGCCCGCAGAACCCGAGGTGCAGGCGCTGGAAGGGCCTCCATGCCTGCACCAAACCCTCCCTTCGAGACGGAGGTCCCTCCCCAAACCCCGCCTATTCCCCCTCAATCACCCCCCCCAACTTCCCACCCCGCGGGCCAGGGTGGTAAAAGGGGACAGGAAAGGCAATTTCGACCTAAAGAGAGAAGAAGAAAAGGGGGAAATGAACGCCCAAACGAACTGGTCAGTACTTTACAGGAGGCTTCATTTGACAAGTGACCAGAACACAGCCGCTGGCCTGAATGCATAATTACCCCCAAGCGAAAATTCCCCCATCTAATTTGATATTTGGTTCTTTGCAAAAGCTATAGCCTTCGTAAATAATATACAAAGTAAGAAACCTAATCCCGCTTGCTAGAATGTTTAATTCATCATTATGCGAGCTAATTGGAAGGTGATTATATGGTAATTGCTCATTAGTGGTGTATATTTATCGCTGTACCTTATGTCAAGGCCATGGGAATTGTGTAGAGTCTGTTCTCTCATTTCAAGGATCAGTTTCAGAAGCAGGAGCGAAGCAGGCAAGATCAAGTTCTTCCTGACGTCAGGGTCCAGCTGAGGGCTATGGAGACCCAGACTATATATAGGCCCTTGAGCCAGCTGGAGACAGGGGCTGCCTGGGGCCCGGCTGAGCGGAGAGCGTGGAGGTACCAGACAGCTTGGCTACCGCCAGGCGAAGCCGGTCCTCCCCGGGAGAGAGAGGAGAGTAGTGGGGCTGGGGGCCTCCGGGGCCATTTTCTAAACGACCCCATCCCCATCCCAGGCACCTCCCAGGCCCTCCAGGTGCGTCTTGGCCTCTGGGCTTATCTGGGAGAGGACTCCTCACCCCTGCACTATCTCTGGGCTCCAGCGGTATGCGGAGGGGTAGTAGGTGTGTGGCAGGGAAGGGCACAGCAAGGATTGACTTGAACACTGGGTGATAGACTGGGAGCGGGAAGGTGAGGATTGATTTAAACGGAGACGTGGAATTCAGAGTGATGGAGACCTGGGCTCCCTCCACATCTGATCCCTGAAGAGTCGGGCAACCCCCACCTCCCTGTGAAACCAAAAAAATTCTCTCAATGCCCCCACGGAGCGAGGCAAGGTGCTGGCCCCACGAGAGTGCCCAGTTGATACCCAGGGAGGGGGATCCCAGAGGCTCTCTGGGGTAAGACCGGGGCAAATGAACTCTAAGCACGAAGAAAGGCGGGACGCGAGCCCAACCCAGCTCCAAGGCCAGCGCCTGGGCCGGGAGAGGCAGGAAGGCAGGTCTGAAATCTTGCGGGTGCGGAGGAAAGAGGTAGGCTCAGACTGCAGGTGGAAGTTGGAGCAGGGATGAGGCTGTGAGCTTCCGCAGCTGGATGGATTGGGCCAGGACACTTGGAGACCAGCCTCCAGCAGAGCATCCTTGCACGTGGGCGCGATCTTTGGCGCGCTCTGGCGCCCCCTCGGAGGAGTGCGATGCGCCTTTGCCCTACCCAGACCCCAGCCCAGGGCGCCTGGCACCCCTACTTGCAGACCCTGGGCCCTCCCAAGTGCCACCCCCTCCACGTCGGCCAACAGGCACTAATGAACAAAAGGCCAATTAGACTCCGGGGCGCGGCTGATGAATGGATCTTTCGCTTTCAAGCGTGGCACCGCCTCGGGTTTCCTGGAGTACAGGGTCGGGCCGGGAGAAGCCGCCTCCCTGAGCGGGGTCACGCCTGGGGTCAGCGGGTTCTCAAAACTCCCACTTCCCGCCTCGCTACGGGGCTGGTTGGGGAAGGACATCGGGGGCCGAGCTGCGGAAATGGGAGCCGAGCTGCGGAAGAGGCGAGCCTGCGGCCCCGCAACTCGGCCCCTGGGCCCCGGAGGCCCAACGCTGGAGGCCCGTTTCCTCTCCCGCCCCGCCCGCGGCCGCTCTGAGGCGGCACCGAGTAAATCAAACGCTGATTGCTGGAATAATAAAAGCCGACCTAGAAAAATGCAGTTTACAAAAAAAATGGCTGTCGTTTGCCAGACTCCAGAGCGAGCGGGGCGCTGCGGAAACTATGTCCGAACCGAGGCCTCCTCACTCGACAGGCACACGCCTCGATCCGCAAGACGCCGACGCTGCGAGGCACGGGCCCCGTGCCACGAGAACCGCCACCCAAACACGGAGAAGTGTCCCCGAGGGTCACACGCACGCTGAGACCATTCCCATCGTCTGAGACCGACAACTACAGCCCGACTCACAGATAGGCACCGAGCGATCAGACGCTGGCACACAAATTCGATACACAACCGCATTTCTATACCTGTGTAAGCGCTCTAATTACAGCTGCACCTCTGCGTGCCCTCGCTCAATACAATCTACATGCACAAGGAAAGCTGGACACCTTGACACCCTCACAATCTACACAAGCAGCACAGGCCTCTCCAGCCTCTTTACTCCTGCGGTTAGCACAATCAGCACCTACACGTCCTGACTTAAGTCCTAGCTTAGACACACAATTACATCTCCACACAAACAACTGTTTCGCGGGCCTAACTCATAGACATTCAACCCCTGCAGACGCGCAAGCACAGCCTCTCACCCTAACTCACATCCACACCCTTTTTCCGACTTGCAACTGCGCGCACGGGGGCAGCCCAGCCTAGATGCCCCCACTGCGGAGCAGGGCCCAGGGCCAGGCCTCGGAGCCGCCCAGTCCCTCCCCAATCGGCCCGCGCGTCCGAGACTTTGTTTCCTGCGACTCGAGGCGGGGACGGGGAGGAGCCGAGGTTCCCAAGGCCGCGCGCAAGCCCGAGCCCCCTTTCTGTCTGGCTCGCTTGGCGCAGTTCTCTGCCTGCCACAATCCGCCCCTAGCACAAAAGTGGCCCGGCAGGTTCCCGGCCGCCGCCAACGCTCCCGCTCCGGCTCGGCTTGGCTGCCAGGAGCAGAGTCGGAGGGAGCTGGGAGCACTCGACACTCAGAACGTGAGGCAGAAAGGGGTAGCGGTCCGGGGATCCAAGGTTTCTCCCACCTGGGTCGTTCTAGTACCTCGAACCCCTGCCCGCGTCCCCTGGGACCTTGGGGCGCGGAAGAACAGAATCCCAAACGCGAAATGCACGCTGAACCCACGTGTACCGCGCAGGAAGGCGAATGTAGCCGGGGCACACACGCATTACACACTCCGTTTGACCCCCTCAGGGAAATGCAAACTGAGAACCCACTCTTCCCCTCACCCCAATTCCATTTGACACAAGGGGACGCACAGGGAAGGCCCATAAGTAATCAGCAAGGAAGCCCGACGTGGATCAAACATGTAACCCACGTCCCCATTCCCGATAACAGGCAAGACACAAGGCAACAGGCATGCGGGTCACCATATTCAGGGAGGAACGCAGAACCTGGCCCTCGAAGCCCACAGGGCCCAGCTAGGGGCATCCAGGGCTGGCATCCATGTACCACGAGGAAGGACCCAGACCTAGGACACACAACTCCCACGCACCCCCTGCTCAAAAGGCTCCAGCCCAGCACGCTCGCACTGAAAAGGGGACGCATTCGCAAGGCACACGCGCCCTGCGCCCTGCACCCTGCCCTGCGCCCGGCGCCCAGATAGTCATCGTGGGATGGCATCTCGCAAATATTTATATTCCTCCGCGCCACGGCAGCCCGCGTCCACATTAGACACTCTAATCCTGCCACTTTAAATAGATGAATTAATAAAGCAAACGAGCGGCTAATAAGCTGACTGTCCTGCCTTTTTGAGGCGGGGGAAGGACTCGAAAGTGCGCCAAATTTGTTTGCAGTGGATCAAGGCGAGCCGCCTCTGCTTCACTTTCTTTATCTTAATTCCGACTTGAAAAGATATAATTATCTAGTTTGAACAGAGCTGCTATCAAATCCTTCTTTGGGCCGGGAAGGGGGGCGTTGGAGTGGATTGCGGCCCTCTGAGCCGCTCGGTGCAGCCGGAGATAGCGCGTAATGAAGATGTGGAGGCCTGAGATACAAAGGGCATTAACCTCATTAGCATGAAACCTTTTCTTCCTACCATTGTGGGACCCTTTCAGCCGCCTAATCCCCCCTATTTTCAAAGCTTGGTTTGTAATAAAGCTTTTAGGTTTTTTTTTTTTTCAAAGCTAATAGTATTCTCTGATGATTTTATTGCTGTTACACTACATAGGACGTTTACAAAAAAAAAAATCTTCATCACCCTCCCCCTTTACTTGTACTAAAAAGAAAAATATATGGTTCCTGAAGAAATAAACCTTTTATCAAGATGAGAAATTTTCTTCTGGAAAGGTCGGTCTGAATCTTAACAGCTTTGGCCTCTGTATTTGATGGATTCTGAGTTGGGGGAAGTAGGTAGAAGGAAAAAGTAACTTGTTTGGGGAAAGGGACGAGGTACTGTAGAAGTGACCGCAAAGCACTTGGGACAACCATCCGTCACGGACGTCTTGCTGTCAAAGCATCTGGAAACGCCGCTTGAGTTTCCAGAATACCCAGGGCAGCACCTGTCCCTTCGAGAGACACGCCTGGGTCTCTGGAGGTGGTCTCCTTCCTCCCCAGCATCCTCTTGCATCTGAGTCTCCCCACAACATACACACCTTCCCTGAGGAGTCTAAATAGAAATGAATCTCAAACAGCCAATGGTTCTCAAGAGGAAGAGAGAGAAAAAAGGAGAGACACGTAGAGATAAAGAGAGAGGAAAAAAAAAAAAAGAGGGAGAGAGACCAAGAATGAATTCCACTTTAGAAGAGAGGAAGGGAGGAAAAAAAGAAAGAAAAATTTCCATAGTGCCCCATAGTCCCCACACGTGCACAGAATGTCTAATCTTAACTTTTCAAGGCAGGATGTTAACAAAGCTTGTATTTTTGCCCTGCATTGTAACTTGGCCTTATCACAGTGTAAAGGGTGGGGAGATTGTCCTAAATTATGTCCAGGCAGCCCCCCTGGATCCGTGGATTAAGAGATTAAAGGAGACCACTGGGCAAGGCCTCCTCTTTCCCCTTCATATTCCTGGTATGATAATTGCTTAAACTGATTTGCACTTTCACAAAAGCTCGCAGGACGCTTTGTAGCTCTAACAGAACAGACGAGGTTTCTCTATCAATGGAAATAAAACTGATTAATGCAGCCTATCAGGATAAGAAGCAAATGAAGCATGCAAAAACAACCTCGTACCCCCAGAAGGGGGAAGGGGGAGCTAAGTTTCCTCCAAGACTAGTTACAACTTTTTCTTTAATGTTAAAATTAAGAGTTGGAGGTTTCTCAAAACGCTTGCCTTATAAGGCTGCTGAGGCCTTTGGGCTTGCCTCTTCACCTTGGGCAGATTTCGGACAGGGGGAGAGGAAAGAAAAAGAAGGGAGGAAGGAAGGGAGAGAGAGATTGAGAGAGAATCAGAGATACTTATAATTTGGGGTTTCAAATCAGAAACACGGTTTAAAAGTCCCAGGGTTCTGATTCTGCTAGGTGTTTTCCCCAATCCTGGAGGAATATTCTTCAATGCATAACTACGTCTAGATTTAAAAAAATAAATAGCGATTAAGAGAAGTAGGCATTTTGAACCTGCAATTCAAACTAAACTCTCAGTAGGCCTTGCACTAGGCAAAGGTCTAGCTGGGAAACCTTTCTCCCATCCCTTTTCTGAAAGACTTAAGTTTTCCTAATCCTCTCCCTTTTCCACCTTCATCTCTCTTTAAAATGCCCAAGAATCCATCATTCTGGCCCTTTTGTGGGTGGGGAGGCTTGTTTCTTGAGCCTAGTTGGGGTAGGACCACACTCAAATTAGCAATAAATAAATAAATAAATAAATAAATATATTTTTTTTTTTAAGGAAAAAATTCACTTCAATTTCCCAAGACGACTACTCTGAGGGCATATTGATAAATCTTTATTGACAAAATATTGACATTGACATACTTCTTGGAAGTATATAGTGTGTTAGAATTCTAACAAATTAACACAAAACACAAAAATATTTACATTCTGGTATAGAAGACATTAAGGAAGCATTTGTCACTCTCTTTAGTAAGTCTATGATCTTGGAATAGAAACTCAGTGCTTGAAAACTTGCCGCCGTGTCCTTGGCCACACTTAACATCATCCCCGTTAACTACAGTCCTTCGGTTTTTGCAATAGATAGATTTAAAGTTTGGAATGACCTTTACAGTGAATGGTTGAACTCGGCCAATATCTCCAACCACCAAAAGGAGTTTACTCCGTAGTTTTAAAGCCTTGGGATGTTAGGAAAGGGAATGTCCAAGAAATATAATTAATTTAGGTGGGTTTTTTTTTTTCCAGCTATTTTTTTCAGCACAAGTCCTGACTCCTCTTGTGGGCGCCCTCCCCCGCCACCCCCAGCCCCTCATCCAACTCCCCATTTCTCTGTAAGAGGACCACTATCGCTGAGCCTACTTAATTTAGCTTTCACAATCACTTTGACGTCAGAAGGTATCAAAAAGTGTTTACAGACTGCACATTTCTCAAAAAAGAAAAAAATCCAAATAAAAAGCACACATAACCTGTCTTTAAAAGGAAAAGAAAATTACATTTCATTTTCTGTCTTTAGACACCATTCGCCCAACAACTGCTACATGCAATTCAAGTTTTTTGAACAGGTGTGGGATGGGGCTGGATATGCAATTTCGATAGTTATTATTACTAATTATTTTTAAAGATTGGGGGGAAAAAAACACTGCGAAGTGCAAAATAAAAAGTCCTCTGCCTGGTTGGGTTTTTTTTTTCTTTTATCATCATTATTATCATTTTTAAAATTGGACTGTGATAAACGGAATACCTGCCAATCATCTTGTCTCTCTGGTTTGGCGTTTGACTAACAGCTCCCCTTGTTAGAGGCCCTTCGGCTTTGCCACATTTGGATCTCTCTCTCTCTCTCTCTCTGTCTCTCTCTCTCTACACACGCATTCAGCTGCCTCTTTAGACAAGGGGTTGCATGTTGATCAAGGAGCCTCGGTCCTCTGCCATCTTGGCGCGGCCCCGGGTCTGGACCCTGCACCCTCGCTGCCCAAAGTCTGCGACGCGCTGCTGTTCTCTGTCTGACTCCCTCTCCCCTTCTCCGTGAAAGTGTGTGTGGGGTTTGTTTTTGTTTTGTAGTTTTTTTTTTCTTCTTCCCCTCCTCTCCCTGTCTCTGTTTTGCTCCGTGTTGTCCGTTTCTGTGGGGTTCTGTGTGTGTTTTTAATCGTCTGAGGTCACATCTATTTCCTCGGGACTCGCCTGCTTGGTGGCAATTCTCCACCGGTTAATATGGTGCGTCCCTTTTTTCTTTTGTTGCGAATCTGAGCCTTCTTCCTCCAGCTTCTGTCTTTTGAACTTCGTCCTTCGGTTCTGAAACCATACTTTTACCTGCGGGCCAGAGGCAAAAAGGGCGTGTTAGTTCCTCCACAGCGCCCTCCTACCTCTTCTGCCTTCGCAGGGCTCAGATTCAGTCTGAGGCTACGAAAGTCCAGTCCCGCAGCAGCTTATCCTAAGGGCCGGCCTCACCTCACCACGGCCTCCCTTCAGGGTGCAGAGCTCCCTGGGTGGGGCGGGCGGGAAGCCTGGCTCTCTGCCCCAGGCCCTCCCGGGGCCTCTCCCCAGGCCAGGCGGCCCAGAGTGCACAGCGCCCCTTCTCACCTTGCCGTGCACGGGACACCCACAGTCTGCTGAGAGCAAAAGCCTTGCAAACATAGGGAAATCCCTACAAAAATAATAAGTAAGGAAAAATAAAGGGACGTGTCCCAAACTCTCTCTACCTAGCCAGTGCAGGAAAGGCCTCGCTCCAGCTGCTGCCGTTTGCTGCAGGGCCCAATGTGCTTTCTATTTTCTGCTGGTTCCGGCAGCATTGCCTAAATATAGCGCCTCCTTTGCAGGCCCGGCCCTGGATAGGCAGACAGGATTGAGCTTCCTCCACCTTGCCTGGGACTCTTGCAGGTGAGCAGGAGTGGGTAGTAGGAGTGCTGGAGGAAGCCAGGAGGGACAGTGGGGTGCAGAAGCCTGGGGACCAACCCAGCTATACCTTTCCAGTTAGGAAAAGAGGCTCGAAGTGAAAGCTTCTGAAAGACCTCAAGATAAAAGTGAAGTAGAAGAGAAACTGAGAAAAAAGAGAGAAGACAGAGAAGGCCCCCTCTTGCCTCCTCCTGCCCAGCCCCAGGACAGGGCAGGGCCAAGTTCCCACCCCGGTCACACCACTTCCCACCAAGGGCACTTGGGGCCCTGGCCTCCCCAGAGTGGCTGACAGGGGTCCGGGGAGCAATGAGGCAGGACTGGGCTGCCATCCCCGACGCCTCCCTAAGGAAGCTGGGTGGTGGTCCCCATTCAGCGTCCAGCCCAGACAGTAACACTGCCCAAGCTTTTCACTAGTGAGGCACAGGTGAGGGAAATTGTGGCGACTGCACCTCCCTTGCCCTCCAGGCCTGTCCAGATAGCACTACCCCGGGCCTCTGAGGTCCGCTCCACCTTCTCCCTTGAGACTGGCCGTCCAGGTCCCAGCTTGCCCTCTCCGAATGCCACAGTCCCCCAAAGTGCCCCATGAAAAAGCTGAGCTGGAACAAGGCTGAGTTTAATTTGCTTTGAGTTTGCTAATTGAGGAGGAGGACGGTTCATTTCTCCCCGGCGCTCGCCCAAGGCGCGCGTCCGTGCGCTCGGAGCTTGACACGCACACAAAGACTGCAGGCAGCGTGGGCAGCGAGGCGGACAAAGACCACCGCAGCCTCGACTCTCCGGGAGAAATCAGCCGGGCGGCGCCTTGTGCCGGCCCCGCACCACCAACCCGCGAGGCCCTCCTCGGTTTTGTCCGGGGTGGGGGATAGACCTTTAAAAACAAAAGCCTCGACCTCTTTGCGCCTTTCGGGAAAAGTGTTACAACTTAAGCTGCCCGAAAACGTTACTGTTTGCTGGGAACTCTGACCCTGCCCTGGGGCTCTGCAGTACAGTAGCGCCTACTGTAGCCCTAAGCCCCCTCCCCGCCCCAGGGCAGGCCAGGGCTTGGCCCGCCTCGGGACCCAGCTGCGCTGGAAGGGTCTGTCCCTAGAGGCAGCCCTTCTCCGCAGCCTTCCAGCTCCGAACCTCTGACGCACCCAGGATGCCTGGCCTCCACCATCTGACTCTCCGATCCCTTCCGGGGAAGTAACTAGAGCCGTCGAAGTAAGCGTGGGCCTTCAGTGGCACAGAACTCGTTAACCCATTCCCAGCCTTCTCCTGCTTCGAGTCCCATACTCTCTGACACCCCCGTGGCTCTCCCCCTCTTCCTGGACCCCAGCCGAGTCCTCAGATTCTCACCAAAAGTGCAGAAGCCTCTTAGCTAGGAACTGCAAGGCATGCCCAGTGGACAGAAGGAGCAACCCATGCCGCCCCCCGCCCTTCTTGTGGCGGGGAAGCTCTTACAGTCCCTTCTTGGGAGATCAAGGAAGCCTGGCACCTTGCAACGTATGCATCCTGAGCGGGGGGCGTCGAACTAGCTTCTGGCCTCTTTGCCGGTGGCCCTCTCGGAGCTTCGCACTTGTGTGCCAGCCGCATGGGTCCAGAGACTTGGGATGGGGTCGCCGCGCCAGCGCCCGGCTCACCTGAGTTTCCGTGAGGCTGAGGCTGTGCGCCAGTTGCTTCCTCTCGGCGCCCACCACGTAGTGGTTCTTCTCGAAGGCGTGTTCCAGCCTCAGAAGCTGGGACGGGGAAAAGGCGGTTCGGATCCGCTTCGGCTTTCGGGCCAGAGCATTGTGCAAAAGGAAGCTCTCGGGGCTTGTGTCGTTCCCTGCGGGGAAAACAGAAGTTTCGTTAAAGGGGGCTGTTCTGGCTGGGGCCGCGCGCTTCTCCTGAGCCGGGCTGGGAAGTCACTGCACTTAGGGCCTTCGCGTAGCCGGAGCCGGTCGGCCCGTGAGGACTCAGGCCCTCCGGAGTCGCGCGAAGAGACAAGGGGCCCGGCTGCTCGCCCCGGACAGCCTGGGCTGTGCCTTTGCGGTACCCACTCCGCAGCTGTCCAAGCGGAACCAGTCTCCAGGCTCCTGACCTAGGCGGGCTTCGCAGCCGCCCTGGCGCAGCGGGCCTCGCCACCTCAGCTCAGGGCTCCTGGGGCACAGGAGGAGGCAGCAGGGATCGACTTGGGGATTGGCGTCCACGACCCAAAGAAACAGCTTCTCTTCTTGCTAATAACCTTTCGAGGAACTTTGACCCAGAGGGGAGAGGTGGCCGGCCGCTAACTAGAGTTTTCTCAAGGACTTATTTTAAAATTCTGTATTTAAATCTTTCCCTTCCAAAAAAGTGCAGAGACCAGGAGTGTCGTTTACTGTCCGGCTGGGACCGAAATCTCACAGGCGGGTGCACCTGGCTTCTGCCGCGGCCGCTTGCGGAGGACCCGGCTCCCCCGCTGCCCGGCTCCAGAGAACTAGGAGACGCGAGCAAACGGATCGAAACCCCGGGGTTCGCGAGCTGCCGGCACCCGATAGGACTGTCCACGGCCCCGGAACATTCCAGCTACTCCGGGCCTGGCGCGGGGACCAAGAACTTGGCTGGCAGAGCATGGAGAAAGGGAGCCCTAAACTTTGTGAGCAAAGCCAGAGAGTTTCGGGTTCACTCATTAGGGTGGAAAAATCGATTCACTAAAAGCCCAAAAAAAGAAAAACTAACCGCAGCTCAGGCGGGAATGGATGTAAACCCGGTCCCGGAATAAGGGTGAATGGTTGGTTGTTTTGGTTTGGTTTGGTTTTGTTAAATTAAGGGACGGCATCTACGTGATTCTAGGTTCTTGCAGGAACGCGAAGGGTTAATGAATGGACAAGCCGCTGAGTATCGATCGGCTGCCGCAGGAGGTAGGTCTTTTCCCCTCTCCGATCCCTAAACTGATTACTTGCCTCCTTTTCGGGAGTTTTAACTTTCCTCCCACCCCACCCCACCCCCACCCAGAGAAAAAATAAACAAATAAACCAAAAAAAGTAAGAAAGGAAAACACCCAAACAGACCTTCCCCTCTGGCCTGTCTCCCGACTCGGTTCATTTCTTTTAAAAGAAAAAAACAAAAACGAGAAACCAGACCGAACCTGCCTTCCCGCCGCAGCCGCTCGGCGCCCCAAGTGAGCAGGTCGTGGCGAGTGTGCGGATCTGCGGAGGTTTCAACCCTTGCTGCTTCCCGCCCCTCCCCGGGCTTCCAAAAAAAAAGGAAAAAACAACCCCTGACTTGCTCCGGGCGCGCAGGTCCCCTTGCCGCCTAAAGCAAGTCGGAGACCAAGAAGTCACGGGTCTAGGCTGAAGGGGCGCGGAGCCGGTAGCGAACAGAATCGAACGTAGTCGAAGGCGAACCTGGCGGCCCGGCCCTGTCCGCGCCCCTCGGAGCCCGGGCGCAGAGGGCAGCGCCGAGGACACGTAAAGCCTGGGGACGTCGCGGGCTCCAGGACTCCGCGGCGGCCGGCAGCCAGAGCAGGCTATCCCAGCCTGCTTCGACCCGAAAGCACTCGGGAACAACTTCGCTGCGCCCTTTTTTAAAGGGTCGAGCGGCCGCAGGCCAGCCCCCAAAGCGGCCGCAGCTTTGGAGACAGGGAACCAACACCATGCCCAGCCCCTCACCGCCCAGTTTGCGAACGGGGAGAGCGGGCCGGCCAGCGGGAGGATTGCCCGCTCAGGCCTCGCCAAGCGCCCACCCGGAGCAGGCCCAGGGCAGTTCGGGATGCGGCGCGCTGCAGCCCCGCGACGTGGCACGTACCTTGGAAGCGGTGGCCCAAATATCGGTAGCGGTGGATTAGCCAGGGGTAGAAGGTGGACGGGTCCCGCTGCTGCGAGGCGAAGAGGGGGTGTGGCGAGTGCGAGGAGGGCAGGGGGTGGGCGGCCAGGGCATGCGGCGGCGGCACCGGGTGCACTGGCACCGCGGGGTTGGGCGGGTGCGAGACCGCCTCGGCGAACACCAAGTCCGGGTTGGAGTAGACGCCCCTGCCGGCGGCGGCGGCGGCGGCGGCCGAGTGGAAGCCGTTGAGGAACGGGTTTATGGGGCTGGAGTTGGCGTAGCTGAGCGCCGCGGGACGGATGGGGTCCTCAGAGCGCGAGACGGGCAGGGGACTGTCCTTGGCCACCAGCGACTCGATGGTGAAGCAGCGCTTGGGCGCCGGCTGGAACATGCTGCGCCGAGGAGCGGGCGCCCGGGGCTCCCGGCTCCCGGCGACCGCGGAGCGCTGCCTCCGCCGCCCGCTGCCCGCGGCGAGGACGGACG